GCACAGGCCCACACTTCCCTGGGCTGCGGCTGCTCTCCGCTTCGCTCCTCTCTGCGCAGGCTCCAGCTGAGTGTTTTAACCACATTCTCTCTGCTGTGCTTCTGCCCTCAGCCCCACGCTGGTACAGACTGTAGCTAGAGGTGTTTTTGAAGTCATTGTAGATCAGTCTGCTTTTGTACCTGAAGAGACCGTGGAAGAGCAGAAAAGCAGAGTGGGAGATGGTGGCCTCTCTGCCGAAGGGATCCCTACAAACAAGCCGGCCTGCAGGAAAGCAGGCAGTGGGAAGAAGGCCGGTGAGAGCATTTCTTTATGTTCTTTTCTTTGCGGGGGGTGGGGGGTGGGGTTGGTTAGTGGGGTTTTGCTTGTTTGTGGATACTGGTTTTGTCTATGGTTGTATGCGTGTGTGTACACTTGCATGTGGAGGCCAAATGTCAGCACTGGGAGTTATTCCTCAGGTTTCATGCACCTCTTATTTTGAGATCATGGGTTTCCTCATTGGCCTGGAAGATGCCTAATTAGGCTAGAGTAGCTGGCCAGTGAGTCCCAGGGACCCACCTGTCTCTGCCTTCCCTGTACTGAGCTTACCAGCCTGTGCTACCATGCCTAGCCTTTTTCATATGGATTCTGAGGATTGAACCCAGGCCCTTGTACTTGTGTGGGATGCACTTACCTGACTAAGCCTCCCCAGCACTTGGTTGGCATCTCACTAAATGTAGCCTCCCAAAAGTTGAAGTAGGGTCCATAGAGACATGTGTGCGCAATCAGGCCCCAGGGAGAAGCCCGACACCACTCACCCAGGCCCAGCTGCTTCTGTCCCTCCTAGGAGCTCACCTTTGGGAGGTGTTTGGCCGGTGCCTGTGAGAGCTGCCCTGCAGTCAGGGTCACACATGTGTTGCTGTGGTCCCCTCTGGCACACAGCCTCCTTCCAGGAGTCTTTAGTTATTTTTTGGAGGGGGTGGAGTTGTTCAGTGTGGGGCTAGTACTGGGGTTAAAACCTGAGCTTCACATAGAAAATAAAAAGGCAGGCATTTTTAAGAGACTAACCCACACATCTCCCTAGGCAGTAGTAGTTGCTGGTACCTTTTTTATTTTTCTCCCTGGTAATGGGGATTGAACCCAGAGCCTGAAGAGACTGAGCCACATCTATCTATTCTCAAATGTCAAGATTTTGTCTTTGTCTTTGGGTGTATTTTGGCAGCGCTGGGCGATTGCCTCAGAGATGGAGTCGTTGGCAGCAGAGAAAGAAACAGCTGTGCGGCCTTCAAAGACTCAGGGTCACCTCTCCAGGTGGGGGCGGCCGTTGCTTTTTATAGAATGTGGGTTGACTGGGGGTGCTTGGCTGGAGAATTAGGGTCAGAGCTCATTAAGCCATAGGGCCTGAACTGTAAAGTCCTTTTTAATCCCTTCTGTAATTAATGTCACCATTCTTAGAATGAGCTTGTTGGGAACAATTTTAAAAGAATGAGATTTTAGGTGGCATGGTGTCGCACGCATGGAATCTCGGCACATGGGAGGGTCTCAAGTTCAAGACTAGCCTGGGCTACCTAGTAACTGCCTGTTTCAAAAACACAAAAGACCCTGTCTCGAAAAAACAAAAAAAAAAAAAAAAAAAAAGAAACCAAACAAGGGGACCCAAAACCTTAAACCCAACAACCAAGAAGCAAAAGGAAAAAAAACCCCCAAAAAAGTCCAAGCCAAGCCAGGCTACATAGAGAGACCCCATCTCAAGAATAGAGAACAATAAGTACACAAGGTGGGATTTCAAAAGACACAAGTCCTCGTTTTCTGATCATGGCTGTCTGATTGCCTTTGTGCAGCAGCTCCAACTCTACTGGTACTGTTGAGGCGTTTTTTATTTGATTGTTGAAGCAGGATCTTGCTATATAGGCTAGGCTGGAGTTTATAGCAATCCTTCTGCCTCCCACGTGCTGGGAATACAGGCATGCAGCACCATGCCAAGCTCCCAGTTTGGGTTTTGATTAGTTGGCTGGTGGTTTGTTACAGGGCCCCTCTATTATGTAGCCCTGGCTGTCCTAGAATTGCTATAGACCAGGCTGGCCTCGAACTCACAGAGAGCAACCTACCCCTGCCTCCCAAGTGCTGGGATTAAAGGCGTGCGCCACCACACTCTCAGTGTACCTAGTTGTACTTTGAAAATAATAATAATAATAATAATAATAATAATAGTATTATAGGTTCTAAGATTGAGAACCCGGAGGAACATAAGAAGCTCCTCAGGCAAATTTTGCTCTGGGTTATGAGACCACAGTCAGGAGAGGACTGCTCCCAGGAGCACCTGGAAGGCGACTCAGATAGGCTGCATGTTCGTTCGACTACCACTCATGTGCCTTGTCTCTTCTTGGTAGTTCGACTATAAGGCAGTAGCTGATCGACTCTCGGAAATAGCCAACTCAAAGAGCACCCCTCCCTTCAACCGGAAGCGGCTCTGCAGACTGATCCGAAAGTAAGTAGTGATTGAGAGCCCATGGCTGTACCACTGGACCAGCATTCCCCTACATGCTGCTTTTTTCCTTCTTCTTTTAAAAATGTGTGTGTGTGTGTGTGCAGAGGCCAGAAGAGAGTGTGAGGCACCCAGTGGGGTACCAGGAACCAAACTCTTTATCCTTTGTAATTTTACTCATTAGCAACATAACAAACATGTGAACCACAGTCAGGGAAAGAGGCAGCCCTGCTCACCCCCTACAGCTGTGCGGGAGTGGTGCCAGTGTCCTCCTCGAGTGTCACCTGTTGACATACCAAGGGGTTCAGCTAGCCACTTTCACTCTCACCTCCCGGCAGGGTTGTGCCAAAAGGGTCATGTAATCTGCTAGTCAGCATCTGTGTCTTTAGGACCACAGTGACGTAAAAGATGATTGGCCAGAAAGCCGGTTGGTGTGTTCTGACTGACTGCAGGTAACAGCTGTCTGGTCGCCTCCTTGGGTTAAAAAAGCATTGGCCTGAGCTCGTCCTTTATGTTATGAATACCTTTCAAAGGAGCTAGGGACACAGTCCAGTGGGTAAAGTGCTTGCCACATGTGTGCGAACATGAGGGCCAGAGTTTGGATCCTCAGTACCCAGGGAAGTTCTGGGCAGCTGTGGAGGCCCACTTGCTTGGGAGGCAGAGATGGGCCTCTCAGAGCAAACTAGCTTGGCCAACCAGGTTGGTAAGCTCTGGGTGCAAGTGAGAGACCCAGCTTCTATGTGTAAAGTGGAGAGTGGTTCAGGAAGATACCAGTGTCAACCTCTGACCTCTACATGCACATGTGCTCACATGTAAGCATGCACACACACCAAGAAAATGGCTACTAAAGAAAGAACACTTTAGAAGATAGCATTTATAATTTCCTGAGTCTTATAGCTGGGTCACTAAAGGTGTGCCAGGGTCTCCAATGTGGATGCTGGAGTGACCTGCCTGCCCCAGCGACCCAGCCCAGGCCCATGCACATCCTTCTTATCCTCAGCTTTGTTTATTTGGTCTAGTGCTTTAAGTTGCATAAAGAACCCTCCAACAGTCTTTCCTGGACATAAGCAGTGCTGAGCTGTCTGCCTTCCGAGACAAGTGAGGAAGGCACTGGAGCTCTGGGCGTTTTGTGTGCCAAGAGAGACTGTAGCCTCTGTGTCCCTTGCAGTGTTGGTGGAATTGGGGTGCCTTTGTCCTGGGTTTTTTCTTACTGACACATCACATCCCTAGGTAGAGCTGTTCCTAGCCTCCCCTGTGGAGGAGAGGATGAGGAATGTGTGTCCAGATTCCTGCTTTATGTTCAGAACCTGTGTCTTGAACTCTCTGAACTCCACGTGTTCTTTTCTTTTCAGGTTCCAGGACCTCTCTGAAGGTAAGAAGAGTTGGACTGTAAGTCAGAATGTTTTCACCCAGTGCACACCCCACCAGTGGCGTCCCTGCCAGATTCTGAGAAGTGGGATTACAGGCCTTCATGGGAAAGTGACTTAAGGGGTGGCCACCATCAACGAGGTTCACCTGGCATACCTAAGGGACTACCCTGGGGAGTGCCACAGGTGCAAGACCCTTGGCACCCACTTTCCATCCATCTGGTGCTTCCTCTGTGTGGCTGTTGTGGTATTTATTTGAATTTTTATGTGTGCTTTCTACAGTTAAGTTTTTAATGGGGAAGGGAAGGCAGAAGAGGTGATTAAGAGCACTGGCTGCCCTTTTAGAGGACCCATGTTCAATTCCTGAACCCACATAGAGCCCTCTTCTGGCCTCTGTGGACACCAGCAATACATATGATACACCAACATGCAGGCAGGCAAAACACTCATTTTTGTTGTTGTTGTTGTTTTGTTTTAAACTGGGCTGGGAAGATTACAGTTCTTTGTCAAGAAGAAACTCCTGGTCTCTCAGGACCGTTCATTTTCTTTTAGGACGCATGTCCCCAGGGTAAGCTGCTGTAAACTTGGTAAATCTGAGTAGGCCAGTGTCGTTGGTTGTTTTTATTCTTTGCTCTTTTGGGGGCCCCGCCACCCAGCTCCCAAATAAATCTTACACGGAGGCTTACTATTACTTATAAATGCCCAGCCTCAGCTTGGCTTGTTTCTAGCCAGCTTTTCTTAACTTAAATTATCCCATCTACCTTTAGCCTCTGGGCTTTTTCATTTTCTTAATTCTGTGATCTTACTTTCACTCTTATTCCGTGGCTGGCCCCTAGCATCCTCCTCTCCTTGTTTTCTTACTCTTTCCTCTTTCTCCTCCTAGATTTTTCCTTCTGTTTATTCTCTCTGCCTGCCAGCTCTGTCTGTTCTTTCTCCTGCCTTGCTATTGGCCTTTCTGCTCTCTTATTAAACCAATCAGGTGTTTTAAATAGGCACAGTAACACAACTTCACAAAGTTAAACAAATGCATTATAAAAGATTGCAACACATCTTTGCATCATTAAACAAATATTCCACAACATAAACAAATGTAACACATCTTAAAATAATAGTCTATGCCGGGCGGTGGTGGCACACCTTTAATCCCAGCACTCAGGAGGCAGAGCCAGGCGGATCTCTGAGATCGAGCCAGCCTGGTCTCCAAAGCGAGTTCCAGGAAAGGCGCAAAGCTACACAGAGAAACCCTGTCTCGAAAAACCAAAAATAAAATGAAAATAATACTAGTCTACAACAGGCCAATGAGCTAGCTCTTCTGTTCTTGTGTACTGGGTGGACTCACAGAGCCAGAGGGAATGTAAAGCTGACTAGCCTGAGAAGCCTGCCAGTCATCATCCAGTGTGTATTCTGGTCAAGAGCCTCTGCGTTCGCTTTTTGGTAGTGCAGGTGATGCCGCAGAAGTCAGGCTCGGGAGGGTGAGGGAGGAGCCCAGGGCCTGGGCTGCTGCAGCAGATGCAAAAAGACCTCAGAAGCTGACCAGTGTCCCTTTGGCACCCAGCAGGCAATAGTGCTCAACTCAGTTTTGCTGAGGACGTTACTGCTGATGAAAATGGTCAAGCCCTCAGTCAAAGAAGGCACAAGAAAAAAAGAAAGAAGCTTTTAGAGAGAGCTGCCCTGGATAGGGAGAAAGGTAAGCTGCAAAGCCTTAGGTCTCAGGGCTGAAAAAGAAAGGCTCACCTCTTGCTCACATCCGGGTAGCTCTGGGGACTCCTGAGCCAGTGTTCTCATGAATCTTTGGCATAACAAAAAGTTTCAGTGTGTGTTTTGGGATTTGGTTTAGTTTGGTGTGGTTGGGAGAGGGGAGGTTTGTTCTTTGAAACAGAGCCCTCTTCTGTAGCCCAGGTTTGCCGCAAACTCGTGATCTTCTGCCTGCCTCCACCCCATGCTGGGGTGCTATGCAAAGCAGCATCGTACCCACAGATTGATTTCCTAGGTTCTGTTATTTTCTGTGCAGCCACTGTTCTGATCTTGTGTGTGCAGAGGCGTCTGCCGTTGGATGGCAGCTTTAGGTGGCACGGGGAAAGAATAGGATTCCAACGCTATCGTGTGTGTGTGTGTGTGTGTGTGTGTGTGTGTGTGTGTGTGTGTGTGTGTGT